ATTAAAACCCTTTGTTGGAATGCTTTACATTTTCCACAGAACAGAAACTAAAATAACCTGTTATACAATTAGTTACAAATACAGTCCTCGAGTTTTTTGCCCATATACATGAGTATTTGTCTAGATCATGTCTTCTTTGTAGCAGCTAGGCCCTGCCACCACTGTGCTTGGCTGAGTTCACAAATCTGTTGTAACCTGTAGCTTCCCTGTCACTTCTCTGGCTCTCCCCTCCTGCTAAGCTTTTCTTCCTAATTAAAATCTTCTGCCACTGCCATAGCTACTGCTGCTACTGGAACCGCCATAGCCACCTTGGTCTCGTGGTTTGGCAAAGTATTGGCCGCCACCCACTGTAGGGGCCAGAGCTTCTGCTTCCAAAGTTTCCTCCCTTCATGGGTCCAAAATTTGAAGACTGATTGTTGTAACTGCCAAAATCATTGTAGCTTCCGCCACCTCCAAAATTGCCTCCATCATTACCAAATCCATTATAGCCATCCCCACTGCCACCATATCCACCACCACCACAGCCACCACCAAAGCCACCACGACCACTGAAGCTTCCTCCACGATCAAAGTTGTCATTCCCACTGAAACCACCTCCATGACCACCACCAAAGTTTCCAGAACCACTTTCACCTCTTTGGCTGGATGAAGCACTAGCCATCTCTTGCTTTGACAGGGCTTTCCTAACTTCACAGTTGTGTCCATTCACAGTATGGTATTTCTGAATGACATTCTTATCCACGGAGTCATGGTCGTCAAAGGTTACAAAGACAAAGCCCCTTTTCTTGCCACTGCCTCGGTCAGTCATGATTTCAATCACTTCAATTTTTCCATACTGTTCAAAATAATCTCTTAGGTGATGTTCTTCAGTGTCTTTTTTAATACCACCAATGAATATGTTTTTCACAGTTAAGTGGGCACCTGGTCTTTGAGAATCTTCTCTTGAGACAGCTCTCTTTGATTCCACAACTCTTCCATCCACTTTGTGTGGCCTTGCATTCATGGCTGCATCCACCTCCTCCACAGTTGCATACGTGAGGAACCCAAAGGCCCTGGAGCGCTTGGTGTTTGGATTTCTCATTACCACACAGCCTGTGAGCGTTCCCCATTGCTCAGAATGGCCCCTCAGGCTCTCATTGGTTGTTTCAAAGCTCAACCCTCCAATGAAGAGCTTCCTCAGCTGTTCCAGCACTTTAGAAGACTCTGACTTAGACATGATCTCAGGGAGGAGAGAGACTTTAAAGATGCTTTTTCGGCGGTGTCCATGGGCCGATATTTCTTAAACTTTAAACATCAAACGGGTACATCTGTGAGATACCCAACCTAGCTCGATCTGTGGGTTAGGGAAGTATTTTCTTTGTATTACTTTATTTAATAGTATGATGTTTATTTGCATATTTGTTTGCTCAAACTTAGATAATCCAGATGGCTATCTTGAATGAAAGGATAAATATCTGGTATTAGAGGTTAGGAAGAGAAAAGGAGTGCTTAAATACCCAAGTATACCGCTGTGCCATACTCAGTAAAGTAAGCAACGACTAATTCTATTAAGAGTATCCCTAACATCACTTGCTTGGTTTTCTTGAGAGTGCTTCACATCTTTAGATCATATTGAGTGTATTTATAGGTAAGGATACACATCTGCAAATATAAAATGAGAAATTAAGAGCATGATAACAAGTGTACAAGATTTAGAATTCCTTTTTAATTGAAACCTGAACTAACACTACACACTTTCTGTGTGACCTTGGGTAAATTACTTACATGCATTCCTCTTTGAAGTGTAAGTGTGAGGCTGGGTGTGGTGGCTCACCCCTGTAATCCCAGCACTTTGGGAGGCCGAGGGCAGATCACGAAGTCAAGAGATTGAGACTATCCTGCCCAACATGGGGAAACCCTATCTCTACTAAAAATACAAAAAATTAGGTGGGCATGATGATGTGCACCTGTAGTCCCAGCTACTCTGAAGGCTGAGGCAGGAGAATCACTTAAACCAGGGAGGCAGAGGTTGCAGTGAGCTGAGATAGCGCCACTGCACTCCAGTTTGACAACAGAGTGAGACTCCGTCTCAGACACGGTGGCTTATGCCTGTAATCCTAGGACTTTGGGAGGCCGATGCAGGTAGATCATGAGGTCAGCAGTTCAAGACTAGCCTGACCAACATGGTGAAACCTCGACTCTACTAAAACTACAAAAAACATTAGCCAGGCGTAATGGCACAGACCTGTAATCCCAGCTACTTATGAGGCTAAGGCAGAAGAATTGCTTGAACCTCAGGGATGGAGGTTGCAGTGAGCCAAGATTTTGCCACTGCACTCTGGCCTGGGCAACAGAGCAAGACTCCATCTCAAATAAATAAACAAATAAACAAAGTTTAAGTGTGTCAGTTAGGATTGTGTTCATTTCAAGCATTTAAAAACCCATCTAGCCTAAACAGTTAATTTAGATTAACTAATTCACTCTTTCACATCAAAGAGTTTAGAATAGGCAACGATTAGCTAATTCAGGATTATCTAATTCATCAGGAAATTCTGTTGCTTCTTTCTGATGTCTGATAATACAACCTTTTCTTACCATTCTACTGACTTTTAGTCCAAAGGTGTTAATTAACTGCAGTAGCCTCCTAATTCTTGTCTCTGCTTCCATTCTTGGCTCTTCTAATTTAATATAGAACTTACAGTAGTCATTCTAAAATATAAATCAGATCATATTAACCCCTCCCCACCCCAACCCTATTTCCCCATTTTACTCAATAAAAGCTAGAGTCCTTATAATGGACTACAAGACTCTATATAACCTCCGCTACTCACTGTGTGACCCATTCAATCTCATATCTTCCTTGATCACTCACTCTGCTTTAGGCCAAACTAACCTTTTGGCTGCTTCTCAAACACCCCGGCATTTTCCTACCTTACAGTCTTTTCGACTACCTGCTCCCTCTACCTAGAATGCTTTGCTCCTAGGTATCTACATGGCTAACTCATTCCTTGTTCAAGTTCAAGTGTTCAAATATCACCTTTCAAGTGAAGCCTATTCCAATGATTGGCTTCCTTCTGACCTGTTATATTTATATTGCCACCAACCGCATCTTAAATACTTGGTTCCATTTACCCCATTGTTCTGTCTTTTTTTCCCATAGCTTTTGCCACCACCTTGTCACCTACTTTATAATATGTATGTTTATAGATTATTGTCTATCTTGTACTTAAATGTAAGCTTCACCACGGAAGGAAACTTAGTCTCTTTTGCTTGCTGATATATTCCAAGTATTGTACTCAATACAGTACTTAATAGGTAGTAAGAACTCAGCATTTGTTGAATAAAGTCAGTGTCATCCAAGACCCAGGCTGTTTCTACCTTTTTATTCTCCCACTATGTGCACTTGTGTTTTATTTTAAGCAAGATAAATATTTGTAACTCTGTTGCTTTCACCATCTCTTACTGGGTGTGATATTGATCAATTTCTTTGTTTTTCATTTCTTTTTTCAGTGTTTCAGTTTCTCTCCATACCTCTTTTCCTATCTTCTTCTTACTCTCATTTTCCCTTTTTATTCTGTGTCTTTCCTTTATATTACAACCATCTCTGGTCTTAATTCTGAATTGGTGTATGTTTATAAATACTGTTTTAAAATCCATTTTATGTTTCTTTTCTTTCAACATTATATAACCTTATATTTGTAAAGGCATATAAGCTTATATATGAGACATGTGTAAACTAAAAAATATATGTATATATATTTCAGTTGTGCTTTATTTCATGTTGCCCTTAAGAAGGAAAGTTTTATGTCCTTTTTCTGGAATATCATTTTCAAAATTGATTCTTCAGAATGCTAATATGTAGTAGAATGAAAAAAATCTACAGTCAATTGAGTTTTGTTAACATAGGGTTTAACAAAGTTAAACTAGGGTTATTTTCTGTAGGAGTTCTCATAACACTTAATAAAATGCTGTTTGATATGAATTTTAAAGACAGGAATATATATATTTCAAACTTTCTTGATGATGGAATCCGTCTTTTTCATGAATATTAAGTGAGACCAGTATTCTACAGAACTCACTTTGGAAAGCTGTTTTAGAGTATAAATGATACAAGATATTTCCACTTAGGTTTGAAATATTGGAATATTTCTTAGAGGTTAGGTACTAGATGTTTTGTCTTTCTTGGATTTTTGTTTGTTTGATTTTTACAAATATCTGAAGGCCTGCTATTATCCAGCTGTTGTATGCATTGAGATTAGCAACTTAAACTGCCTTCAAGTAGTACTTAGTCTAAACAACTAAAAAACATATATTGTGAGAAAACTTCAGTGTTAAAATTATAAGTCAAATTCAAGTGGGAAAACACCAGTATTTCTCTAACCTGCACGATTAGTGTTCTTGCTATATCCCTTTTTTGGCTTCATAATATAGGCAGCAAATATCTTTTTAAACCACAGCATAGATTGTATTGCAGATATCTGTTAAATGCTCCGGTTCTAGTATAATGACTTCTTATGTGGACTACTGACATAAAATGAAGTTTAATATGCTGTATATTTTATTTAAATTTATAAAAACAGAAGTTAACATTTTAATACTGATAAAATAGTCATTTTGATCAATGTGTAGAATTTGCTGTTAGAGAAGTTTATCACTTTTTTGGGAACATTAATTTTAGGCATATTTTATAATCTTGTAATAAAGTAGAAGAAATTACTGACTACATTTATTCTAAAGAAATAAATGTTATTGTGAGGTAAAAATATTATAGCTGAAATATTACTGCATGTAGTTATTAACCTGGGGGAAGATAGCAGTTGTTTTTAATAGGATTAGATGATTAATTGATAATCATCAAATAGTTGACCTTATTTATTTTTATGAAATCATGATTAGTAATTTATTATGGTTGACAGGCACATTTGAGCTTTTCTAATAAAGGGAAATTGATTTCATAGTGGTGTTTCTAACTTTTTCATTTTTATTCATTTTATGTGGTATTCATTTATTTGATTTTATATGGTATCATATTTAAATAAGACACCAAAAATAACAAAACCTTAGAAATATTGAATAAATACCTTTGAAGGGATATGGGGAAAATATTGAAGAAAATTTAGTTCCTGTCAAGTGAGAACCAAAACTAATTGTGATCATTTAAATATGCCGACATGCAAAAAAATATTGGTAGACTCTCTTCCCCATTTTGGTGATAATAGCAATTTAAAACTTGGTTGAGTGTAATATATATAGTGATATTAGTATGTTTCTTAGAACTCTAAAGTTATAGTTGAGAACATAATGACTCCACAGAAAGATAAAATTATTCAACAAACTCATACTCCTTTACAACATTAATACTTTGCAGTGAGAAGTTTGCTCTCACCACTCCCACCTCCTGCCATTTCTCTTTTTACATAATTATGGAAACTGCATGATATATCAATTTTCAAAAGATGAACAAAAACCTTTATAATTATTAAGTTGCTATAAGATTCTAGGTAATTACAGTGAGAATAGACTAATAGGAGGTGCTGAGGACATCTTTTTTCCTAGTATTTCTATTTTTTATCACTTCGTTAAAATCTAATTCAAGATGCTACTGGTAAAGGAGCAATTTTACTCTTAAATCTAGGTATCTTCAAAGAACAGTAAAACATCCAACTTTACTACAGGATCCTGATTTAAGGCAGTTCTTGGAAAGTTCAGAGGTATTATTTCTATATTAAATTTTTATATATAAATGTTCTCTTTATTTGTCATTGTAATACTTTACATGATTACATATACAATAAATAATTGGAGCAATAGGTGGAATAAAGCAGTGGTTTTTTTTGTTTGTTTTTTGTTTAGTCCTTTAATTATCTTGCTAAATTAGTAGCAAAAAATCTTTGCTTTGATATTTATAGGATGGTTAGTCCCTTTCTTGAACACTTAAAACAAGATTTAAGAGGATGGTTTACAAGTACTCTGAATGCCCTAAGTTGTTCCTCAGGCATCATGTTGAAATAAGTTTATTCAGACTTCATTTTAGAGAAAGAATGTTGAATGTGTATTTGCTTGTCTACATTCTGATATCCTTTTTAAGGTTTTGAAATGCAAATTTGTGACTTGAAAGAGCCTAAATCATAACCATGATGCTCTTTATACTTGAAATGTTTGGTATATTTTGGGCTTCTAAGAACAATTTGAGTTGTAGTTTGAGTTTTTTTTTTTTTTTTTTTTTTTTAAATTTACTGAGTTGCAGAATGTTTTAAAAACTCAAAATCACACAATGCTAACTGAGCATAAGGAGATTTTTCTCAAGACTTTCTTCTTTCCTTATAAACAGTTTATTTATGTTAGCAAACAGGTGGCCAGTGTTAGGGTACCTGGCAATTTCTTAATATATTTTGACAAACGGTGTTTGTTCCATCTAAATGTAAACGTGCAGAAGAAAAGCAAATGGAAAGTCTATTTTTTAAGTTTTCCTTTGAGAATGTACAAGTACTATATTTGAGAAATTAGATCTCACTATTGAAATGTAGGAGAGTGAAGAAAATACAACCTCCTTTTTTTAAATTTTTTGTGTGTGGTGGGGAGAGAAAGGGGGATCACTTTTGTGCCCAGTTAAACCTCCAGGCTTTTAACCGGTTTGTTTGCCCTTATTTGTCATTCAATTCCAGCTGCCTAGAGCAGTTAATACACAGGCTCTGAGTGGAGCAGGAATATTGAGGATGGTGAACAAGGCTGCCGACGCTGTCAACAAAATGACAATCAAGATGAATGAATCGGATGCAGTAAGAGCTGATTTTTCGACTTGAATAATGAGATGAATTAATGAGCCCAACAATTGCATTTTAAAGCTGTACAAGTGGAAAATAGGATATTAATTTGCTTATTGAGTTCAGTTCTCAGCCACATCAGTTGGCCACCATGGTTATACATGGTTAATTTGTTGCTTTAAAACAAGGAATGTAGCTTGCTATTGGTAACCTAATTTACAATGGTTTGTTCTTTCTAAATTAGCTCCATTTTTCATTTTTTTCTTAGTGGTTTGAAGAAAAGCAGCAGCAATTTGAGAATCTGGATCAGCAACTTAGGAAACTTCATGCCAGTGTTGAAGCCTTGGTCTGTCATAGAAAAGGTTTGTTTGCCTTGTTACTTATGTAGTTAGCACCATAAAACTAATTAAAATATTTTATTTAAATTTTATGTAAATATTCTGAAGTTATTGCAGAAGAGAGAAAACAGTCATTTAAGAGAATGTTTTCTATTTCAACTTTATTATTTAAAGTTTTTGTTCTATTTTGATCTAATATCTAGCAGTAGAAAAATAATGAGCCTGTAAAACTATTTGTTAACTGGTACAGATGTGAGCTAACAAGAACAAAGAAAACTATATTTGAATTTTGGATTAAAACTTGGTCACTTGATTAACTCTTTGTTAAGTAAAGTTACAGTTAAATGGATGAAGGTATCTTATCAATTAGCAATTTATTGTAATAAAAATACTTGAGATTTGAAAATTGCTTTTTGAAAATTTTTTGGAAAGTATTTGTTTTGTGCCTTTACTTTCTGTAAAATCCTTTGAAGTATTTTCTTTATTTTTGAACCACAATATTTGGTTTTTCTAAAAATTTATAGAAAATTTGAGTTGTAATATTTTAATCCATAGTGAAATTATAGTTTTTTGGTTTATTTTTAAAGAATCCAGCGATTCAAGTATCAATTGTCCATAATATTTAATAAGTAAATACTATATAACATTACTAGTGATACATTTTATTAAGATAATTATAGAAACTTACTAACACACTTATTGAAAGTAGTTTATAACAGCTTTTGCCATTT